AATAATAAATAAATTCTTAGGAAGAAACAGAAAGTTATTGGCATTAAGAGTGGCCCAGATATTTTAACACTGACTGAATGAAAGCTAAGGCATGGCTCTGTGTATAGGGAAAAGACCAGATAAGAGAAACCTCTAGAATTTAACGGTTTTTTTGGATAGAAGACAGCCAGTCTACACAAGTTTATGAGGCTCTAAAGCTAGAAATAGCACTACAGCATTCAGTAGGAGAGAGGGCACGCAAAGCTCATGTCCTAAGAACTGAGCCACCTACACCGCCCTTGTAAAGTGGCATTCCTACAGATGCACTCCTTAGCTGGTTGGCCCAGTCTGAGGACCAAAATCTGGTTCTCATTCTTGAAAAAGTTATATTGATTTTATATAAATTGTGCACAGTTATAGCAAAAATGCAAACAATATAAAAGTACAAAGAAGAAAGGTACAGCTAGGTTTGAATTTCGATTTTGCCATTTAGAGGTCGAGGGAGGCCACCTCTCTGAATTTCAGTTTTATCGTGTGTCAAGTGAATGTGGCAATAACACCTCTCGAAGTCAATGTGAGAATAAGAGAGGATGTATTTGAAGTGTTTCTCATGGTGTCTAGCACGTAGCACGCCTCAAACCTGGTTGCAGAAGTAGTTATCATTACCTTTTTGTTACCTGACTTTAAGGGCTACAGCAATAGCACAATTTGTAGCATAAATTACTAACATTAGCACTTTAAAAAGATATCAAATACAGTGTTCTTTTCTAAGTCCTTGGTTACTCTCAGGCGTTTGGGAGAGAATTGTGGTCTTTCCATGAAATAAAGTAAATCAGCACTGGTATTTATTGAGAAAATTCCTAGGTTGAACGGCAATCCTGTAGTTAAAAAATCTCTGGGTAAGAGGAAATCTAGGGAGAACTATTGTTCCTAATTGATGTCTGGTGATCAATGCTCCAAATAATTGGATTAATATATTCACAGAACATTGTTGTAGTCAGTAACCGTATTTCTTTCTATTTCCAGGCATTTTTACATAAATTCACCGAATGGCCAAGTGGAAATCCCAACAAGGACAGGATTCTCATGGCTGGAGGTAGCCAAGGTCTGGCAAAATTGTTCTGCTGAGAAAATACTTCCCTCTGCTTAGTGGCTCTTCAGTGGTAGCTGATGTCCAGTAGAAGGAGACAAAGCTAATTCACATGAGGCACAAATCAGTGATGAAGGAGGTGTTAGAGCAAGTTCTATTGTCTGAGCCCACAGAGAATAAATTATATGGAGGTTGTGCTGCCACACCCCAGCAGACTCTAAGCCTGGGGTGGGTCATGGTACGGTGAGGCCAAAGAAAAGACCCAGAGACACCGATGGAGACATAGGTTTATTGGGGGAGCTTATGTACAGGGAGTCCAGAAGTGGCCAATTGGATAAAGCCTCTGCTGCCAGGATCTACATGCAGCGAGTTTTTATATCATAGCAACTATCACTGATCCCTCCCCTCCTTGCATGGCCAGTGTTTCCAAGGAGATCAAGGCCTGCCACTTGGACAGTCTTCATTATATGAGAGACGTATGGGGTTGGTCACCATGCCCCCAAACTCAGCCCCTGACCTTGAACACTGAACAGCATGCTCTTCTGCACGTTCTGCTTGATGGGAATATAGAGGGAGGACAGGATCTCTACATTTTCAAGACAGTGATTCACAGGGGCATTCAGGGTGTGCTTGCACAAACGAGCTATCCAGCGTGTACCATACCAGATGTGAAACAAATCTGGTAACGAGGCCAGAGTTTCTAAGATATGATAATGAAAGATAACTGAGGATGGAGGAGTGAGGCAATGGCCAGGGGTGGGATGCACGACTGCCCTGCACCTTGGCGATAAGCAGAAGGCCTACCTGCGGCTGCTGTGGGCTGAGCCCGTGGAGGGAGCCTCCCTGGGCAGGCTGGGTCGGAGGCGCTGCATTGCCTCCACAGGCTGTTGGCTCACGTGGATATGAGACCTGCTAGAGCCTGACCATGGGCAGTCAATGTCTTGCCCAGAGTTCCTTCTACAGAGGTGTGTGTAGCTGAGAGCAGTGCCCCCTCCGCCCCAGCCGCCTGGATGTGTGTCCTCCCGCTCTGAAGGAACTATCCAGTAAAGAAGGAAACTCCCACTGTTTGAAGAACCACATGCACACACACGGATAACTAAAATGTGGATGGCACGCTAAACTTCACTGATTGCTTTCATATTTATATATGAATATGAATATGAATAATATACATATATATTATTTAATCTATACAGTGGCCTCCTGGGCAGGTGGTTCTGTTGCCACTGCATCATATGGAAAGGGAGAGCTAAAGAGCTTCAGGGATGAGTAGAAATGGCACAGCTAAGTTGCAAAGCCTCAGGGCATAGAGTGGACAGTAACATTATGCCGACGCGATAAGGCTCATTTCCTCAGAGCAGCCTTGATATTGCTATCCCAGTGAGATGTGAAGCAACAGGAAGAGCTTATGTTTGGAGTTAGTGAGCTGTTATTTAACAGTGGACAGGGGCGCCTGGGTGGCTCAGTGGGTTGAGCGTCTGACTCCTGATTTCGGCTCAGGTCATGATCTCAGGGTTGTGAGGTTGAGCCCTGCACTGGGCTCCATGCTCGGTGCGGAGTCTGCTTGAGATCCTCTCCCTCTGCCCCTCCCCCTGTTCCAATGCTCTCTCTCTCTCTCTCTAAAATAAATAAATAAGATAAATCTTCCAAAAAGTAATTGGACAAATGACCTAGACACTGAGACCATTTCCCTTTCTGTAAAATGGAAAAGAATCACCTGGAGGTACAAACTTTCCATCATAAGATGAATAAATTCTGGAGACCGAATGTCCTGCATGGGGCTATAGTTAATAATAATGTTTCGTATTCTTGAAGCTTACTAAGAGAGTAGATCCCAAGTGTTCTCATCACTCCCACATGCCCACCCCCCACCAAAATGGTAACTATGTGAGGTGATGGGTGTGCTATTAGCTCAATTGGATCATCATTTCACAGTGTGTGTGAACGTCAAGACGTCACATCGTAGACCTTAAATATTTACAATTTTTATTTGTCATACTTCAAAAGAGCTTGAAAAAAAGTCTCCCAGAGATGTCAGCACGACCTGAGGGAGCACTTTGCCTTCTATCCTTCCTCACGCCTTTCTAATGACGCTACAGCAACTTTTGCAGACAAGCAGACGGTCCAGTCTGGTGTTTCTGCCTCATCCTATTTAACTGAGAAATTGATCCTCCTGCTGCCACAAGGCATTATTTTTTAATTTCCATAAAAAGGAAAACCCAACCATTTAACAGGCGGGGAGGCATGGTACTGTTTGCGTTTATGTGGGTGGGAAGAAAGAGGACTGGGCAGAGAACAGGACCCCATTCTTTTGGTTCTTTGTCCAGCTACTCTTTCATTTGCTTCCTTGCTTTTCAGGTACCTTCAGGCCTGGCTCCAACCCTTTGTTCACAACATATCAAATGAAAATTGGTGCAGTTACTTTCCAGATTGCTACTGGAGATATTACCAAAGAAAAGGCAGATGTGATTGTAAACTCAACAACAAGGACATTTAATCTGAAATCAGGTACTTTATTTAAGCAATGTACGTGATCCTAACTACTAACATGAACCACGTGTGGGAGGGAAATTGTGGCTAATGTTGCCTGAGTAGATGGAGAGTGTTGCAGAACATATGCAGGCCCTGGAATCAGAAAGACCTGGGTTTGAATCCCAGCTATGTCACTTACCATTGTGTGGCTTTGGAACAATCACTTATCCCCTCTGAGCCTCAGTTTCTCTGCCTGTCAAATGTTGATTTCCCAGAAGAGGATTAGATGGGGCGCAGCAATGTAAAGCTGAGGTGTAAACCACGCACTGGACTTAGTCTGTGTTAGCTCTCATCCCCTTTCTAGCTCTGAACTATCAAAATTCCACACTTATAATTTAATAAGTTCAAGTTTTATTTTAATTTTCCTTTTTGTGTAACTTAATTGGCACTCATACCTCACTTCTTGTAACTCTTTCCTATGTTATACTGACCCAGAAATGAAATTCAGCCCCTTTTTCTTGATTTTTGCTGGAATGTCTGAGCACCTCCATTGATGGAGCACCTTTGAGCATGCCCTCCCCACATGTCTATTTGTGTATAACTTACATACATATACTCTTATGTTAATATATTTTTTTACAAAGCCTTACATTTTAAATTAAAAGTGTAAGATAAAACATAAGTAGAAATGGAAATTTAAATATTTTCCAAAACTGCAAAATATTATGGAACTTAATATGTAGGAAGTGCATATGTAGAATATCCATCCGGTGTATCGGTCATTCAAAATGCAGACATAAAGGACATTCAATTAGGTAAAATGTGATAAATTGAACATAGGCATTTGTCCCTGCCTTCTTTTAAAATTCCATTAAAGCAACTGTAAAGGAAATGAAAGGGTGTAAACCCAGAAGGAAAAAGAGAGTTGGAGGGTAACCAATAATGAACAAGAGACAGCAGTGTATTTTTAGAATATGAGAAGCAGCTAGCCAGTGGTGAAAACTTAGTATATGCAGGAGAGAACGGTAGCCCCTAGAGACACAAGAATTGGAGGCAGCAGGTACCTGGGAAGGCAGGGGACAAGTAAAGAGATGAAAACAGAATCGGATGCAATTCTGTATGAGTAGCACTTACACCCCTTTGTTCTATCCTCCATCCATCCAATGCACCGGTAACTTCCCTTGCTCTTCCCTGGCCAGAGATGGGAGGTTTATTTATTCTGTAGAGAAACCAACCAGAGAGATTCTGGATGTAGAGGAGCAGGCACGGGTGAGATGAGGGTAGGAGCTGGACAGTGTTCAAGTGAAAGTTCCTGTGCTGAACAGTGAGTGCCTGGCCCTGTCCCTGTGTGTCTCCCAGAACAGCAGATGATTTATGCCTTCCAAGACAGGAGATGGGAGGGTCCTTCCGGAGAGAGACCGACTGCCCTCAAGTCTAGTATTTACTGCCTGCTTACTTTACACTAATGCCTACTGGTCAGCAAGCCCCCTTTACATGGTGCTCCCAAACTCACTCTAAATATGAATGGACTGGTGAAGATCATCTGATAATTAAGGAAAACCTCCATTATTGCAGAGACCAAAACAAACACACACAAAAAGGAATTTTTTTAAAAAGAGACAATTCACAATACACACGTACATAATCAAGGAGACACAGGCAGATAGATTGATTGATCTTTATAATGATACAATAACTAATAATCATTCAATGCTTTCTGTGGGCCAGGTTCTGCGCTAAGCATCTTTTATTCACTGTCTCTTTTAATGTTCAAATAACCCTGTGAGGGAAGTACTGTGCTAACCTCTATATGATAGTTGAGGGACTGACTAATTACATGTTAACCAGTAAGTGGTGGAGGCAACCCTAACCCAGGCTGTCAAATGCATAGTCTGTGCTTTCGACCACTCAGCCAGCTGTCATTAGCAGTGACCAAGGTGGTGAAGCTACAGCCTTGATCGGAAGATTCACTGGACCAAGGGCAGCCAGCTGTCTGACCACCTGTGAAAAACAAAACAACACAACATTAAAACCACAGAACTTAGGTAGAATGCTCAATGTTATTTCAGTTTTGAGATCCATGCTTCTCATTTGTATCAGAAAATTCATTTTTATATTTTTCAATTTTGTAAAATAATAAGGGTAGAATGCAAAAAAGTTCAAATAACCACAAAAATATCCCTGTACAAATAGAGCCTGTAGAGCCACAGACACGGGGGACTGTCAGTCTTTGGGCAGTGCCATCACGCCGTAGCTCAGAGTGTTTATTATTCAGCTACTGAGTGACGGTGGCTCTAGAATATTGAGAGGGAGACAAACCATAAGAGACTCTTAACTCTAGGAAACAAACTGAGGGCTGCTGGAGGGGAGGTGGGTGGGGTGGATGGGGTCACTGGGTGATGGGCATTAAGGAGGGCATTTGATATAATGGGCACTGGGGTGTTATATGCAACTGATGATTCACTAAATTGTACCTCTGAAACTAATAAAAAAAATGGTGGGTTTTTCTGTGGGGGCATCAATGAATTATGCACAAAATGCACAAAGGGGTGAGCTGAACAAAAGTCTAATGTACAAAAGCTATAACCATGCATTGAATTTTAACTAATGCTTTTTACCACCAACATGTCTTATTTAGGGGTGTCAAAAGCAGTTTTAGAAGGTGCCGGGCCAGCTGTGGAAAATGAATGTGCTGTACTAGGTATGGTTACATGTTACTTTGGGTTACAACCCATAGCAGATTAGAGGGCTGAGAATACTATAATAGGACCTACGAGCGGAGTAAGTGGTGAGAACTTAGCAAAGAGGTTGATTCCCTGGGAGAGCAGACACAAGGGGTGTGACTTTGTGGCCATGGAAAGTGGTCCTTCCTCCCCCCATCCCGCCTGTCTCTTCCTGACTGTTAAACAGAACCCAGGCCTGGGTCCCAATAGTCCAGCCTCCACCACTTATTGAGGGATCCTGGGCCTGCCATCTAATCTGTAAGAGCTTTGTTTCTCTTACCCGTAAGACGGTTCTGGATTCTACTAACGAGGCAGGAGTATTGTAATGGCTGTCTCACAGGTGGTTGTGAGGATCAAGACAATAAATGTGAAAACTTGCATCAAGTGCTGTATAAATCATCTTTCACTTTCCCCAACCTTGTTCTACTTGGTATAGCGGATCATCCACCTGACATATGAGTCAACGTGGAACTTGGGTGGGTCTGAGGTGTTTTCTGACACCAACCAATTCTCCAATTCTAGCTCTGTCTCCCTGTAAAGTTAGCACTGGACCCCACAAGTTAAAGGGCTCAGTCTCACAAGACCCCCCCCACACACTCCAAACGCCAGTCACAGGTCCCAGGGGGCACATGCACTTCTGACCCATCCCCTATAAACTCAGGCATTCACAAAAACCCTTTGACAGTACCCTAGAATGACTCACAGAACTCAGGAAAACACTTGTCCTACATTTTCCAGTTTATTATAAAGGATAGAACTCAGGAGCAGCCACGTGGAAGAGATGCAAAGGGGAAGGTGTACGGGAGGGGGCTCGAAGCTTCCACACCCTCCCAGGTGCACCACCCTCCCATCACCTAGGTGTATTTACCAACCTGGAAATTCCCAAATCTTGTTATTTAGGGGTTTTTATGGAGGTTTCATTGTGTAGGTGCAATTAATTAAATCATTGGATTTTGTGATTGAGGTCCCCAGATGCCAGGGTGTGGGGCTGAAAGTTCCAATCCCCTAATCATGGCTTGGTCTTTCTGGAGCGCAGTCTCCATTCTGAAACTATCTAACGCTAGAACCCTCAAGAATCATCTCATTCGCTTATAAAAGACACTCTCATCACTCAGGAGATTCCAGCGTTCTTGGAACTCTGAGCCCAGAACCAGGGACAAAGATCAAATACTTTTTTTTTATTATATCACAGTGGGAAACCTGTAAGAGTGATCATAGACTACTTATCCTCCAAAACGAGGACTCATGCCTTGCTGAGCAGAGAGTCTGCTATGAGTGTGATTTAAAGAAGTCACAGGGTCCCGTGTTTGACAAACAGTCCCCCAACTGACCTGCTTTTGTGCCTGAAACTCCTATCTTGATAGCTCAGCTCTGATTAAGACATTTTCTCCCCAGTGAATCTATTCCTGGAGAGGGATCAGAAGGTAATATTGCTCACCAACATGAGGACGTTAGCAGGAATTTGTGGGCTGGAAGAGCTAGATGTACCTTGGAAGGCAGAAGCAAAGAATAAAGTGGGGTTGGACAAGCTGGAAAAGTCTACTGAGGCTGCCTGGGAGGGCCCAGCAAGTGGGACACCCGCAGGGAGTGCCTGGGCAGGGTGGGGTGAGTAGGCGCTCACTCTCCTCCTGCGTTTTCCAGAGCCCCGCCTTCCTCAGGTATTTACTCTGTGCCTTAAAACATGCCCTGATCACGTCCATGTGCTCGAGAGCTCTCGGGGTCCTGGGAGAGGGACCTCCACAGCACCGAATGCATTGCTTTTCTCTCCTTGAAAAACTAATCTAGCTGAATGAGCACATTAATTGCTCTTCTGGACGACAGCTTGGGGGTTAAGAGGGCTGGACACTGACTGTTTGGGTTCAAATCCCAGGCAATCTTTGCTACTGACCTTACCTCTCTGAGCTTCTGTTTGATCTGTGAAATGGAGGAAATACTGCCTACTGGATAGGCTTGTTTTGGGGATTGAGTAGATTAAGGCAGGTAGAGTGCTTTTGAAGAGCACCCCAAATATGCAACAATGTAGTTGTCGAGTTAAAGAAGCCTGGCTGTAAAGAAAATGAGCCTGTCACAGTCCCAGTGAGTGAAACCAGCTAGCTGGAGGGAGGCTGGACTTGGTCAGGAATCATCACAGCTTTTCCTGATGGCAGATGTCTTCAGGTCTCCGTGATCATCCTGCTGCTTCCTGTAGGTAACGTGCTGTGTGTTTCCTTTTCTTCCTCTTGTTCCAGCCGCACAGCCTCACAGAGATTTCATAATTACGCAAGGTGGATACTTAATGTGCAAGATAATAATTCATGTGCTTGGGGAAAATGATGTCAGGAAAACGGTCTCCACTGTTCTAGAAGAGTGTGAGCAGAGGAAGTACACTTCAGTCTCCCTTCCAGCCATCGGAACAGGTTTGTAGCCTCTCATCACTCAAAGACTCTGAATGATCCACATTCCTTTAGACTTAGTCTCACTGTTCGTGACCCCAGTGCTGAGTCCAGGCAGTGAGAGTGATGTAAATCAGAGAGTGGGCAACCTTGCAGACCCTGAGGGCCATCGCTGGGACCTATGCCTCTTTCATACATCTTTATTCTTTATTGTACGTTCCCCAGGCATCTTTCCATGTTTGACCCTTAACATCATGGTATTCTTACTGTTCATTTTTTTCCTTTGGACGATTCATTTGCTCTTATTATATCGGTTACCCTTTCTGCACTGACTCGCAGGTCAGCATTTCTCCTTCCCCCGGATCTCGTCTGGCAGATTTCTGTTACCAGAAACTTTATAGCAGAATCCAAACTCATCCTCATCATCCCTTGCAAACAGCCACCTTTCCTGAGTTGTCTCATTTTCTGGTTTCCTCCTTCAGGGTGTTGCCCTTGCTTCTTGGTGCCCCCAGACCCCACAGCCAGCACATTCTACTAAATCTTCTCCCAGGGGTTGTTCAGTTTCACCCTTCCTTCTGGTTTCCAAACCCTTAATACCTCCCCCATTGGGTTGACTGCCGCATCTCCCACTGGCTCCTCATTTGTGCATTCATTAGATTGAAATGCTGTGTCCCAGGCCCACTGCAAGTTCCTAGGCATAAAACCATGAATACGATGCTGTTGCTATCCTTAAGCAACAAGCTCAGGTCCATCCTGCTCCCAGGTTCTAGGAACACTTTCCTCTTCATCTGTATCACAGAACACAATAATTTGCTCTTAGTTGAAGGTGTTGCTAATGATCCACTCCCTGATTCATTCACACTCAGTTGCACAAGCTTTTTAAAAGGGCCTGGGAGGGCCCTAATAATGCCATCACATGATTATATGATTTACTAAAGCTTATTGTAACCACTGTGGATTAGGACCACTGTTTCTTCCCACTTTGACTTCTCAGACTTTTCCTGGCGCTGAGCATTGGAAAGGCTGCAAGCATTTTTGGAATACAGCTAAGAAGAGTTGAGCTGGGAATATGGTTTTCAAAATTTCAAAATGTATACTTTATTGTGATTTCTTTTTTGATTATAAATATTTTATTTTATTTTATATTCTTTTTCTGAGATGTATAAATTTCAAACCCTACAAAACCTAGGCCCACCCCTGACTCTTAATTTCCACATTTTGCAAATGAGAATTCGACGTATTAACGTACAAGGTCACATAGTAAGCAACATAACTAGGTTCAAACCCAGGCAGCTTGGTCTGCACATTTCAACCATTACATTTTTTTTACGTCACATGGTTTTTGTTACCATTACGCTCTTAATTACTATATTCTTAGCTGTCACATTCTTATCTCCCCATTACCTTCTATTTATTAGCTATTACCCTCTATTATCACCCCAATTTTATAGCTGAGTAAATTGAAGTTTGGAAGTGGTGTGGGCTGAGTTGTATTCTCCCTGCCAAATTCATATGTTGAAGCTCTAATCCCCAGTACCTCAGAATGTGACTGTATTTGATGAGAGGGTCTTTCAGGAGGTAATCAAGTTAAAATGAGATCATTAGGGTGGTCCCTAATCCAATATGGTCAGTGTCCTTGTTAGTTAGGGGATTAGAACATCCATAGGTAGAGAGAGAAGACCATGTGAAGACACAGGGTAAAGACCAGCCATCTACAAGTCTCATAGAGAAGCCTCGGAAGAAACCAATCTTTCCAATACCTTGATATCAGACTTCTAGCCTCCAGAATTGCGAGGAAATAAATTTCTGTTGCTTAAGCCAAGTCATGGCAATTTGTCATGGCATCCCTAGCGAACTAATATAAGAGGGATCAAATGACTTAGCCAAGATCACACAGCTAATCTGTGGAGAACCAGGACACGAACCCAGGTCTTCTGCACCCAGATCACTTGCTCTGTTCTCTGCGCTGCCAATGCCCTTCAGTTAAAGACCAATGGGAACACACACTATGAGGAACTATGCAGCATCTCACCAAGAGGTCACGGAGGACTTATTAATGGATTTGAGCTTGTGTTGGGTAGCTTTGTGGCGGTCTCAACTACGTGGGGTTTTACTCTGGTTTGGATACTTTGAGGAAGCTGGCATAGTTCTATGATTGGATATCTTACCTGGAAGGAGAGAAGATTATGGCTGAAGTTGTAATTATTAATGAAACAGCGCTTGCTCCTATTAGTCAAGACGGGGAATGTTTGGCCATTTTTGTGGTTTGGATAGTGTTCGTATTCTTGCCTATGGTCAGACATGATTATTCAGTGGTTGTGTTTGGCTAAATTCATCACAGCCACAGAGTGGTTACATGGGATGACATTCTATGAAATTGTTTATGTTCAGCCAGAGAACAGGAAGACACAGCTCTGAGTGCCAGATCCGTTTCTGGCTGTCGGGCTGCTTGCTTCTTTCTCAGCACCAAAAACTGCATTTGCCAGATCTCATCACTTGACTAACACCAGCTAAAGCTTCTTCTGGTCACTTAAAAAAAAATGTTTCTTTTTCAGGCAATGCTGGAAAAAACCCAACCACAGTTGCTGATGACATGATCAGTGCTATTACAGACTTTGCACAGAAACATCCCACCGCATCGTTACAAAAAGTTAAAGTTGTCATCTTTCTATCTGAATTGCTAAATGTATTCTATGACAACATGAAAAAGAGAGAAAATTCCACATCACCTGCCCTTCAGTCCACATGCTTTGAGACTGCATGTAAGATGATTTTCTTTAGAGAATCATGTGGTTATCTCTCCTATCATATAGCAGATGTGTAGATATTAATGCTCATTGTTTTATCAGCTTTAGGATTCTACAGACGGCCTCCTATAATATATGGGACAAGTACAAGAACTATGGAACGCCATCTCCTGACCGCTGATTATTCTGTGGGGCAAAATCGCTCCTGGAAAACAGGAATTGCAAAGGAACAGAAAAAGAATAGAAGTAAGGAAGCAGAAAGAGGGGGATAGGCTTTGAACATCCTAGCCAGTTATCTCATTATTGACTTATGGGTTTGTATTGACCCTCAGTGCTCCTTGTAGCTGTGAACTGGCTGTCCAGTACTGGTTTATGGATTATCCACTGCTAGAGAAGTTAGCCTGGGAATAGAAGCAGATGGAAGAAGGGAGTGGTCAGGGTCATTTGGTTGTACTACTTCATGAGCAGGCAGATTCCCAGTTGCTTCTCTGTAAGGTATGTGTTTATGCATTATGTTTAAGTATCTGTATTGACCTGCTCCCCTTTCCCCCATTTTGAGGCTTCTGTACTGCTGTGAAAATAATTAGAAAAGCAGCCTCCTCTTGCAATCACGGTTTTTACCCATTTTAAGCACCCACTCATAGAACACTGTGAGTTTTACTAGTGATGAAGTGTACCTGTCAGCAGCCTCCCCAAACTGGAAATGGTTGCCTGACACTGCCAGTAGGAATTTCAGTTCTCTCTACATTTACATCCTGACAACAATTCTTTTCAATGTGCCTTCACACACAGCACATGTTAAGAGCTACATATACACACAATAAATAAAAATGAAAATAATAGTTGGATCTGTTAATGCTCTTGCAATAGCAAGTAATAGAAAATCCAATTTAAGTTGGCTTATGGAAAAAATGAAATTAATTGACTCACAGGACTATAAAGTCCAGGCATATCTGGCTTCAAGTCCAGTTTGATCCAGGTGCTCATATTATATAATCTAGGCCCTGACTTTCTTCATCTCTCAGTCTCTTCTCAGCTGCGTTGTCTGTATCCTCATGTTTCACATGGTGAAAGATGGCTGCTAACAGTTTCAGGACCATATCCGTATATGGTCAGATCCAATAGGAAAGGGTATATCCAGGGGTAATATATTCTCATCACCAAGAACATGATGCCTGGGAACAGAGGTGTTCACATAAGGCTTCTGACTGAATCGGCTTAGGTCATCGTTGCAGCTAGGGAACTGGAATTATACTAATCAGCCAATCCAGAGTCACATGCTCTATCCTTGAACTGAAGGGGATCACTCTGAAGCAACGGGGAAGAGTTGTTCACCAAAGGAAATTCAGGATGCTTTTACCAGAAGAGGAGGAAAAGGCTGCTGGACAGTTAAAAATAACATACACCTACTAGAGGGGCGCCTGGGTGGTTCAGTCAGTTAAGTATCTGCCTTCAGCTCAGGTCATGATCTGGGGGTCCTGGGATTGAGTCCCCCATTGGGCTCCCTGCTCAGCAGGGAGTCTGCTTCTCCCTCTCCTTCTGCCCCTCCCCCTGCTCCTGCTCTCTTTCTCTCTCTCAAATAAGTAAGTAAAATTAAAAAAAAAATACATACCTACTAGAGTATCTAGGGATATATAAAACACATACCTATGTATAAAAATACATACCTAGTAGGGTATCCAGGGATATATAAATTAACATTTTCCCCCTTTGGTTTTTGCAGAGGAAAATTTATATTTAAATATAAGAGCAGTAAGTCCTTATAAGTGAAAAATTAACTGAAACTGGTTCATCCACTCCCTGCTTACACCAAGAATTTAAAATGACTTATGAAAGACAGCGGCGCCTGGGTGGCTCAGTCAGTTAAGCATCCGACTCTTGATTTTGGCTCAGGTCATGATCTCAGGGTCGAGATGGAGCCTCAGGTTGGGCTCAGCACTGGGCGTGGAGCCTGCCTAAGATTCTCTCTCTCCCTCTCCCTCTGCCCCTCCCCTCCCCCATTTCTCTCTCGTAAAAAAAAAAAAGAAAAAAAGACAGGAAAGTTAAAGAGACAAGCAAACAAAAGATAACTGAACAGAGCAGACCAGTGACCCAATGGCACTTGGGGCAAAAACCAACAACAACAAAACTACCTTACATAATCTTTGTTGTTAGATGAAAGGAATCATGCAGATAAAATGTCAGATGAAGGGAAGTTTGTTGGCAGAGATAAACTTGGATTTTAGTAAGAATTTATCTTGTGGACTCTTTAAGAGAGAACTTACAGAGAACAACTTGGAGTTTCATTTGAGCAGATGTTTTTCCAAAGCATGTTAAAGCTATTCATTGATTCAGAGTGCTTTTACTGAGCATGTATTGAATATCAGGCCCTAGAGACACAGACCTGGGAGTCATGTGAGTAGGTGGGAGTTGAAGCCATTGAGCGTGGATCCAATTATCCGTGGAGACTATGAAGGTAGAGAGAGTGAAGGCTGAAGGCAAAGCCAGGATTCTTGGTATGTCACCCCAACTCTACCTGTGGAGAGGAAACTGAGGCAGGATGCACAAGGAGAGGTGCAGGAGGGTATTTATCCCAACTATCGGGAATGGGAAAGTAGAGTGACCTTTATCTTTTAAAAGAGATTTATAGGAAAAGTGCTCAGGAAGGTGCCTGGTATGTGGTAAACACTTGAAGAAAGGTAGCCATCATGTTACCTCCCATGAAACACTGGGCTGCGAGTCACTAGAACACAATTCTTTTCCTTGCTTGGATGGTGGCCTTCCATGTAACGTTGGATGTGCAAATACTCAGCCTTCCTGGGACTCGGTTTTCTCATCTCTAAATTGTCCATCCAGGGTCACCTTTGGTCACAGGCAGAATAAGTAGCACAGTTTGGGGTGGTTTAAGGGTGTGATTTAAGTTATTCCTCTCAAGAAAATACCCTTGCCTTTAAACTTTGCTCCCTCTTTATTTTTTTTTAAAGATTTATTCATTTTATTTTAGAGAGGGAGAGAGAGAGAGAAAGAAAGAGTATGAAAGAGCGGTGGGGAGGGGCAGAGGTAGAGGGAGAGGGAGAGGGAGAGGGAGAATCTCAAGCAGACTCTGCACTGAGCACAGAGCCTGCCACGGGCCTCTACCCCACAACCCTGAAATCATGACCTGAGCTGAAATCAAGAGTTAGACACCCAACTGACTGAGCCACCCAGGTGCCCCTTACTCCCTCTTTAAATATGAACACCTCTGGGATGTAGAAAAGATCAAGTTTAGTTGTTTTTTAGGAATAATAACTATGTTTATAAAGGATTCCCTAAAAGTGCTTTTACACCCTTTATTATATTTTAAACTTGAAACAATCCCATGAGGTGATTAATAGAGCAGATTTTATCAGTTCCATTTTATAAAAGAGAAAATGAAAATTCACTCAGAAGTGGTATTACTTATTCCATGCGTCACAGGTTGAGGCTGATCAGGTCTTCTGATTCCAAGCACTGGTATTTTCTGCTCTGCAACCTCATGGCATGAAAGGAAGAGAGAGCCCAAAGTACTCACTTCTCAGGCTTGCCTGCTGTATTCAGAGAAAGTAACAGGTTCAAGAAGACTCTAAGACCTAGGACTCGACATGATTAGGTCAAAAGCTCTGGCGGGATTGGACGGTGGAAGAAAGGAAAGAATTTAATTTGCACAAACTACACGTCCTGCTGTGGGAAACTTCTCCAGAAAAAACTCTTTTATAGTGGAATTTGAAGAGAGCTTCCAGATTAAGGTTTGATGCTTCCCTTTGTGAACAGAACTTCGTTCCATGGATGGACTTGCTAAACAGGAAGAAAGTGTCTGATCGCTCTCCTAGGCCTGTATATCTTGCACTAAAAATGAGTAAATTCTGGCTTTGTAAGGAGAAATCCTTTGGCCTTTACCTGTGGTGCTTTGCCATTTTCTGGCATTTCCTTCTCTAATACAGTCTGTCCATATTTCTACTAGTCATGCTGTCTCAGCAACTTGATGTGTAGCCTCAATGTGTTAGAAGGTTCTGGAAGCCATTGGAAAGCAAAGGAAAATTTTGAGCACCATCGCCTTATATGAAAGTATTCACTTAGTATTTCTGCTGTTTTCTTTATTATGGGGCTTTCTCTACTTAGAAAGTAGAAGATAAGGTACAGAAAAATGTGCTTTAAATATCTTTAGCAAGGTAATCATATTTCAGAAGAAAATAATAAAGAAGCACACTAAATAAAACTGATAAACATGAAAACATCAATAAATCAGCTTTCACGTTTACACATTAGGTTTTTAAAAATTTTTTTTAAAGTAGGCTCCACGCCCACTGTGGAGCCCAATGTGGGGCTTGAACTCACAACCCTGAGCCTGAGACCTGAACTGAAATCAAGAGTCGGATGCTCAACCAACTGAGCCACCCAGGCGCCCCTACACATCAGTTTCTTATGGAGTTAATTCCACAGAGCTCTCTGGGGAAATTACAATTTCAAGCTATAGTGAAACAAATATACCTAAATATTTTAGCTAGGCCATTAATTAATATATGTCATATATGTCAGAACCATTCATTTCATCTGTGGATGATAAAAGAAGCAACTGTGAAATGTGTAGCTTTTTGGTGTTTTTTGTTTGTTTGTTTGTTTTTTTCAAAGACCAGGATTAGACGAATGCCAAATAAAAGCATAGGAAGTGCCCTGATTTTCAGAGATCCCTGGAAATGGATATTGTGTTTTCACCAAATGCTGACTTTCCAGGTAATCTTCCTGAACACTGGGCTGACATGAATAAGCAGCTGTCCTGTGTGATCAAGCTATATCCCGGACAGTCAGAATATGACACCATAAAGGACAAGTTCTCTGAGACTTGTCTTTCCTACAAAATAGAGAAGGTAATATTGTGTTACAAAATTACTTCTTTTAACTATCAAAGAACTAACATGAAAGTTAAACTAACAAGGAACTAACATAACACTCTTCTTTCCTTTATATCTTACTATATTTAATTAGACTTACTCAAGCTCCATAGACTTCAAATATCATGGTTCATTCATTAGCAGTAATGAAGGAGATTCCCAAAAGTGACATATATATGTTTGGATACTTTCACTTACAATTTAAAAACAAACCCATTCAAACTGATTAAACAAGAAGAAATGTATCAGAAATTAATGGAAAGTCCAGAAGTAGGATGGTCTTTGGAACAGTTAGATTCAGTTTCTCTGGCTTTGCCATCCACAGGGTCAGCTTCATCTGAAGGCTGGACTCCCTTCATAATTGTAGGATAGCTGTGGTTAGCAGTCAGGGGGTCTCTGCTTCCTCCATTCACATCCCATGGAAGGGACACAACCATTGGATAAGAGTCCCAGGTTTTGTGTTGAGCAGACCACTCCAACCAATCTATGTCAGGAGAGTGCTATATATGTTGAAAGGCTTGGACCTGGGCTACCAAATGCCATCATTGTGTGATCCCCCCAGATTATCCCATCTCATAATCATGAGATTACCCTGATTGGTCAAACCCAATCAGGCTCCACCTGAGAACTATAAGTAAGTCCAACTCCACCCAGACCAGCAGTTGCCGTACAATGCGGATGAAGTGGAATGGATATTCAGGGATTCCCACAATGTCCACCATGCCGCATAAAAAATTTTAGCCAGTAAAGTACAGGAGTTTATTAGAAGGTCATTATCGTACCACGTATATCAGAGCAGGGTGTGACATCCTAGTCATTTAAAAATCTAGCTGCTACTTCCATAAAACTGTGTACTTAATCACATTATAGCACTCAAGAAATTGTGTTTTCATGAGCTTTCACATGCCTGACTCGCCCACTAGACAGTGGGCTTCTTAAAGTAGGAGCTGCTTTGCCAGTACCCAGCCCAATGCCTAGCATATCATGGGACGCAATACCCACTGAGTGAACTTACTTCCTGAGAAAGAAAATCAAAAGAGAGAGACTCCTGTAGAAAGGACAGAATTTAAAGGAGGAGATGCTTCATTGATGTTAAAAGCTGTTGAGAGGGTAAGAACCTGGTTCAATTTTGTTTACCCAATATCTGCAGCTTTCTTGGCTCTTAAAGGCCTTTTATTTTACCCATTTTGAAACACCTCAATTTTGGATTAATTCCATAATATATTTTCTCTCCTGCTGCCCCTAGATAAAACTATTTTTAATTCATGGTCCCCAACCTCTGCTGGACTCTCCAGGTGCTTGGAATCCTTTATTGCTTCCTCCAGTCAACTCCCTCATGCATTCCCTATTGCAAAATTTCAACACTCTGCTTGAGGTCTTCTTCTCTCTCAAAACAACTCTCCCTCCTGCCTTTATTACTTGGCTTCTCCTTAACATCTGCTACAGGTAACTACTCCATTCCTTTTTGTGTATTTATTTTTAATTATTTACTGAAATTGAGGTATAATTGACATGTATTAGTTTCAGGTATGTAACGTGATTTGATATTTGTATATATTGCAAATTGATCACCACAATAAGTCTAGTTAATATCCATCATCATACATAGTTACAAGAAAATTTTTTTCTTGTGATGAGGACTTTTCAGATCTACTCTCTTAGCAACTTTCAAATATGCAATTTGGTATTAACATAGTCACCATCCCGTGTATTACATCCCCGTGACCTATTTCTTTTATAATTGGAAATTTGTACTTTTTGGCCCCCTCTCTCATGTTGTCTACACCCCACCCCTGCCTCTGGCAACCATCAATCTATTTTCTGTCTCCATGAGCCTGGGTTTATTTTTTGTGGGTTTTGTTTGTTTGTTTCTGATTCTACATATAAGTGAAACCATATGGTATTTGTCTTTCTCTGTCTGACTTATTTCACTTAGCATAATGCCCTCAAGGTCCATGGCAAGATGTTATGCTTTTTCATGGCTGGATAGTATTCTATTGTGTGTATGTGCATGTGTATATATATACCACATATTCATTATCCATTCATCTATCAATGGACACTTGGGTTGCTTCCATGTCTTGGCTATTGTGAATAACACAGTGAACATGGGGGTGCACTCAATTCTTCTTGAACTCTCTTCTTTTATTTCTAGGACATCAGCCTTTCAGATTTCTTCCTCTCTTCCTAGACCTAGATTATATGGATCCCTTTCTTATGCTTTCATACTCCATATGTGTTCTCCTAATCCATCCCTCATCACTCTAAGAGGGAGAGATTTTTTTACTTGTCTTCCTCCCCCACTAGACTGAAAGTTTCTTGAGGGCAGAGATCCAACACAGTGCTTGATTCATAGTAGCTGTTCATAGATGATTACTGAATGTATGTTAAATTCATTTTCTGGAAGGAAGGAGAACCAGTAGAGAATGATATTTTGAAAAAAAGTTAAAGGAGGACAAAATTTCAAGGAGGGGATGATTCATGGTTTGAAATGCTCTTGAGGGTCTAGAAAGAAGTAGTCATTAGATTAGGCAGTTATGAGGTGATTTATGACCATGATTAGAGCAATGCAGAGGAACTGTATTAGAAGAAGTCAAAGGAATGGGTTTAGAGATCAGAAGAAGTTAAGGAAATAATTACTGAATGATTACACATTTTTGAGTAAGAATTTGTTTTATTTTTTAAATTCATTTTTATTTATTTTATTATTATTATTATTATTTTAAGTAGGCTCCATGCCCAGCACGGAGTGCAACACTGGGCTTGAACTCAAAACTGTGAGACTGAGACCTGAGCTGAGATCAAGAGTCGGTGGCTATCTGACTCTTGGTTTTGGCTCAGGTTGTGGTCTCATGGTCGTGAGATCGAGCCTTGCCTCTGGCTCCATGCTCAGCATGGCGTCTGCTTAAGATTCTCTCTCCCTCTCCCTCTGCCCCTTCTGCTCATGCTCTCTGTCTCTCTCTCTCTCTCTCAAATAAATAAATAAATCTAAAAAAAAAAAAAAGTCAGCGCTTAACTGACTGAACCACCCAGGTACTCCTTATTTCCTTATTTTTTTTAGAGAGGGGGAGAGAGAGAGAGAGAGAGAAACAGAAAGAGAGAGAAGGGGGTTAGGAGCAGAGGGAGAGGGAGAGAAAGAATCTTAAGTAGGCTCCACACCCAGTGTGGAGCCCGAAATGGGGCTGGATCTCACAAACCTGAGATCATGACCATGGCCAAAATCAAGAGTTGGATGTTTAATCCACTGAGCCATGCGTGCCCCTTGAGTAAGATTTGAATGCGAGTGAATCTCCAGGAATTCCAGGGAATATATATAGGTAAACATTTTTATATAAATTATAAGTTCTGTTATATAAAATAAGTTATAATAAGCACAATCACGAAGTATAGATGCTCTTAACCTAGCATTTTTCTAAAGGCAGAGAGCTACCTACTCTCTGAATTTGTTGTTTATTTGTGTTTTCTTTTCCTTTTCCTTCTTCCTCTCCTCCAGTCCTTGTCCTTCTCTTTCAAACTGCTATTTTAAAATCCACAACAGGGGAGCCTGGGTGGCTCAGTCATTAAGCGTCTGCCATTGGCTTAAGTCATGATCCCAGTGTCCTGGGATCAAGCCCCACATGGGGATCCCTGTTCTGCGGGAAGCCTGCTTCTCCCTCTCCCACTCCCCCTGCTTGTGTTCTCTCTCTGTCAAATAAATAAAATCTTTTAAAAAAATAAAAATAAAATAAAATCCACAACAAACAGAGTATACTGAGCTCTAAAGTCATTTTCAAAATGTTTTGCTTTTTGTCATTTGCAGATTGAGAAGATACAGAATATATGCCTCTGGCAGAGCTACCAGATAAAGAAAAAGCACATGGACTTGAAGAATGGCCATACAGATAATGAGAGAGTCCTGTTCCATGGGACAGATGCAGACTCAGTGCCATATGTCAATCAGCATGGCTTTAATCGCAGTTATGCTGGGAAGAATGGTAAGGAATCAGGTAATCTGGCTGACCAGAATGAGGTGAATGATAACTCTAGTGTTGACTATTCACACCCAAGCAGTGCAGGACCACAGATAGCAGCCATCTTGTCATTATCAGGATAGAGCTCTTGGTGTTTCACCCAAAAGGAGGCTGGCAACCTTCTGAGGATAGATGGAGTGAATTTTAGAAATGATGAAAAGTGGCTTGGGTGGGCAAGAATGGCATTAAAAAATGTTGTGTCAGGTTTGGACATGGTTCTACATACAGTGATAATTTTATGTTTTTTTAGGAAGGCTTTTGTCTTTCTCTTTACAGGTGCAGCCTATGGAAAAGGAACCTATTTTGCTGTTGATGCCAGCTATTCTGCTGATGATATATATTCCAGACCAGATGGCAATGGGAGAAAGCATATTTATGTTGTACGAGTACTTACAGGAGTCTATGCACGTGGACATGCAGGATTAGTTACCCCTCCATCAAAGAACCCTCACAATCCCACGGATCTGTTTGACTCTGTCACAGATGATATACAATATCCAAAGCTATTTGTGGTATTCTCTGATAATCAAGCTTACCCAGAATATCTCATAACTTTTAGGTGTTAAAAAACAGGTTGTTTCTTTTTTTTTTTTTCATCTCAAAGAGATGATTTAGTCATCTATTTATAAGAACAATTTATAGGGTTTTTGTCTTTGCCTTTGGCTTGTTTATGTAGGTAAAAATCTCTCTGTTAGGTGCTAAAATGCTGAAAACAGCCTTTTAAAAATGCTCTATTGCAATTTGTAGCATACCTCTTTTCTGAGCATATTGATGAGTGGAAGCTAAGAAATGTGGATGACATAATTATAGCTACAACTATTTACAGACACCAAATGTGTAGGAGAACAAAGAGCACATTACTTTTGTCTAGCAGAGAAGAAATAAGATGAATCACTTTAAAACCAAGATGTCATTGTTCTTATAGAACATGTTAAGACATCAAACTGTGTTGGGCTCAACTGTACTATTAAATGAATAGGCTGCTAATGTGCATCTGTAACAGCTGGGAATTTTGCCTCCTGAAGGAATACTTAGTAGCCAGAGCTCAGCTAGAATGATTGAATCAAATCTGTTGTGGAATAAATCAGGTAAAAATGTGTTGTACCACTGTCTAACTCTACATAACAAATTACTACAAAATTTAGTGGCTTTGTGGGTAAGGAATTCAGGCATGGCTTAGCTGGGTTGTTCTGACTTAGGGTCTCTCCCGATCTTGAGTAAAGATGTCGGCAGGGGATGCAGTCTTCTGAAGGCTTGACTGGGGCTGGAAGATCTGCTTCCAAGGTAAATCACTTAAATAGAAAGTTTTTGCTGGCTGGCAGGAGTCCTCAGTTTTTCTCCCCATGGTCCTCTCTAGGCTGCTTGCTCATGACATGGTACTCCACAGTCAGCAATTCGGGAGAGAGGAAGGAGAAGCCATGATGTCTTTTATGACCTAGCCTCTGAAGTCATACTCCATCTTTTCCACAGTATCCTGTTGGTTCCACAGATCAGCTCATTCAGTGTAAGCAGGAATTACATAAGGGCCTGGACACCAGTAGACAGTGATCATTGGGGAGCATCTTAGAGGCTGTATAAATGAGTGAATGACTGATACATTAATAAAATGTGAGCAGTGAAAAGGACTCTAGAGGTCATCTGAGCCCACTGTCCCCTCATCTTTCTCCTCCCCCTTCCCCCACTCCCAGGGCATAAAGCCCTCAAGCCTCTGCTTGACCACTTCTAACACTCTACATCTCAAGGATCACTTACTCCATCGTGAGACAACTTGAACTATTGGAAAACTCTTGTTTACACTGAGTTGAAATCTGTTCTTCTATGTCTGTTGCCTGCCGATCAATGTCCCATGTTCTGGAGGACACAGAGCATCTCCTTCCTTTTACAGATGGTGGCCCTTCAGATTCGTCTCTTCCCTCTATTATACTAGAGTTAGGTAAATTCTTGAAATACTTAGCTTATCCTGCAGCATCACTTATCAAGAGTTGAAGTCACTTAAGAAGTGTTTACATAATCATAAATAAGCACATGCACATTAAAAGGAGTACAGGGAAGCTTAAAGAAATAACTCCCTTCACCAAACTGTGTATCACTCATAACTGCAGCATTCACAGAAGACCACTGCCAACATTCTAACGTCCTCCCTTCTCCTTTCTTCTACATCCACCTTCAACAAAGGCAAAGTTACACTTTATTCTATTACTTAATTATGCAATATTGTATCTACCTTTTTTCATTTAACATTATAAGTGTTACCCTCATGTTATTAATTTTTTCTGTAAACATCATCTTAATGGCCAAGTTATTCCACTATATATTTTCCTTTTATGTATATATAACTATAAAGTTTTTAAAATGTCATCATCTTTCCTTATAGTTTAATAATCTAATTTCATTTTGCAATATATCTGTATCATTTCCCCCATGTCATTAAATATTTTACCTATCATTTTGATGGTTGCATAGTATTTCGTTGTATGTCTCTACATAAATGTCATGTCAAAGTAGGGTGCCCCATATTTCTAAATAAATATATGGTTGGATTATGAGATGCAAAGAGCATGATCTACCTTCAATGAGATAGTGCGTCCTGAACTTCTTGAGGGAAATAGAGTCCTAGAGAGCAAAGCAAGGTTAAATAATGCTCTGTTAGGGCATGGGCCTTGGCTCCCAACTCCAGTGTAGAATTCTAGTGAGCCAGGTTGGAACATAGAAGGACCCTTTTTACTTAGGTTAGGTAGGCTTTTACTTGCAATGTGAACTGCTGTCTTGTCTCCTCCAATGCTGTTACTCAAAGACCCCCCCAATTTATTTTGCTGTACTCCTACTTCACTAGAAGACAAAGAAGTCTCGAGTATAATACATCCATGTTATTAAAGTTGTGATGGTTTCATGAGGAACAAAATATAAGCCAATCAAGAATTATTTAATTAATTAATTAATTAATTAATTAATTAATTAATTAATTTAACAAAGAGAGAGAGAACTCCCTGAGCAGGAAGCCCAATGCGGGGTTCAATCCCAGGACCCTGGGATCATGACCTGAGCTGAAGGCAGACACTTAACCGACTGAGCCACCCAGGTGCCCCAGCTAATTGATAATTATATAGTTATTATAAATTCCACCTTCCATCAGTCTGAAGCTAAATGCCTTTCCACCCTTTATGTCCATCTCCTTTCCAGTTGACTTGGCATTCTCCATCCATATGACTAAAATGGTCTCTACTTCTTTCCTAATAACCCACTGTTTCAGGTTAACCCAAATTAGAAGTCTTTAACTTTACTAATCACTGACAAAACAGGTTTCTTTTCTATGGATTTCCAGAGTTCTGGCTGATGGTACCTGACTGATCTGAGACCAGAGACCCTGAGGTACAGTTCTGACCGGCAGTCCGATGGCTTACTGTCCCATATATCTTCTCTCCTCTTCTCTCTTTACTTAGCATTTTTCTTCTTATTCCTTTCTTTCCCCTCCAATCTTCCCCTCATTTGTGGAAGAATGAGGACACACTCTGAATCAGAGGAAACAGTTTAATTTTTTTCTTCATCTATGGTAGAGGAAGAAAACCCATGTAGTATATATGCTGATGTGTTAATTGAACACAGGATTTGTGAATTCATTTACAGGTAATGGGTTAATTATCACAATGCTGGTAAGATCATTTACAGCTAATATGAGTCAATTTGATTTCTCAATAGTTTATGCAAACAAATACACTTTCTTATAGTAAACATGCTTTTTGAGCTTAACTAAATTATTCTATTTCCAAGCTGTGTAGGAAAAACTCTTGCGGTCTCTCCTTTACTCACACTACTTCCACACTCACAACACTTCTGACACCAGGTGCGTGTTTTTCCCCCACTCTCAGCAATCCTTTGCAACATTAGCTGGGGGTGCCACAATTTCACTCAAGTCTGACACTATCTACCTGGAAATAGTGTCAGATCCCACAGGGTAAGGGCTCAGCCCCACAAGACTGTCTCACCTCCTCCTGTACTACAGATGCCAACAGCAAATCCGAGGTTGTTCCCTGTACTTCTGCCTGACTGGCTATAAATCCTTGTTCCCACAACCCCCTCCTTGGGTTTGACCATTTGCTAGAATGGCTCACAAAACTCAGGGAAACACTTATTTACATTCACTTGTTTATTCTGAAAGGATATGATAAAGGATGCAGATGAAGAGTTACATAGGAAGGGTCACAGATCTTCCATGTTCTCTCAGAGCATGTCACTCTCCCAGCACCTTCACCTGTTTTCAACTTGGAAGCTCCTGTAGCTCATACCTTGGGGATTTTTGTGGAGCCTTCAACACGTAGGCAATGAATGATCATTAACTCAATTTCTAGCCCCTCTCCCCTTGCTGGAGAATAGGGGATGGAGCTCAAAGCTCCAACCTTCTAATCATGGCTTGGTCTTTTTTGTGATTGGTTCCCATCCAGGAGACCAGCCAAAGTCACTTCATTAGAACAAAAGATACTGCCACACCCAAGAAATACCAAGGCATTTAAGAACTCTGTGTCAGGAAGTAGGGTCAAAGACCAAATTTTAGAACAAAAGATGCTTCTATTGTTCTCATCAACTTGGAAATTACAAGGCTTTTAGGAGCTCTGGGCCAGGAACCAGGGGCAGAAACCAATGTATATTTTTTATTATCTCACACAAGCTTTGGACTTTTCTGTCACTCTTAGTAAACATATGAAGGAAATCTTATAACTAAACTCACAGAGTGAATAACAATTTTTTTAATTGAAGTACAGTTGACACAGAATGTTACATTAGTTTCAGGTGTACAACATAGGGATTGGACAAGTCTATACGTTATGCTAAGCTCACCACGAGTGTAGCTCCCATCTGTCACCATACAACACTATTACAACATCACTGACTATGTTCCCTCTGCTGGACCTTTTAGCGACAAAATTTTAAAAATCTTTTGCTTCATCTCCCTCTTTATCTTACCTTTGTGGTCACCAGGATATAGATAACCTCTAACTTTCTTTTCCTTATCTTGTTAAAAAGGACATTTTCAACATAGTAATTTGTCTCCAAAGCCCCCTGTTACCTACAATTATAATTCTATAACGAAGACCTCTTGAATAAGTAATTTTGACTTCCACAAAATCCACCCCCACATCTTCAATTCAAACCTTCCCTTTTATGTGCCCAACGTGCTCCTGTTTCTCCACACCCAAACCCAGCATCCCCTTCACCTCACAACACCCACATAGTCAGATAGAATACACTAGAAGGATTTGCATAATACCAGAACAAACTGTCTACAAAAAACTTAAAAAAGAATGAAAATGCTTCTCTGTAGGCTTTTGTAGTTCATAGTGCAAGATGGTGTTTCTTTCAAATGAACTCTGCTAAAACACCAAAGTACTGAGATAAGGAAAGTACTCACCAACACAAAATCAACAACATAAATTGAACAAATCTGGGGTCAACAAAAAAAATCAAAATTTTCTGTATAATGAAAAAAGAACCCCTTCCAGAAGGAATTTTAGAATCTAGAACACATTAAGATAATAACGTGTGCCTTGCTACTTTCCAGGGTTAAATAAAACAATACCAAAATTATGTTAAAAAAATATATATTGTAGTTTTAAACTAAAAATTGGAAGGCAAGACACAAATAGTACAAACTATAGTTTGTACTAAGTACATGTACTTAGTACATGTACTTGATTACATTAACATTTACATGCAAAGTACATGTATTTGATTACATTAACATTTACAAAATTGAGGTTTGAGTTTGGGGCTCCTGGCTGGCTCAGTCCGAGGAGCGTGTGACTCTTGATCTCAGGGTTGTGAGTTCAAGCCCCACATTGGGTATAGAGATTACTTTAAACAAAAATAAAACCGTTAATAAATAAATACATAAAATTGGGGTTCAAGGTTAAGATTGAATATATGCACCTAATTTTGCTTCCTTCCCGAACCCTAGGAAAGCCTCACTGAAGGGATTTAAAGGATACATAAGCCCTTAACAATAGGGAGAATAGAAGAGGATAGCAAAAAGCATTTTAAAAGCTAGAAAGCAGATAGATCTGTGCTAATGACTATAGACAGCTCAACCTTAAGC